TAAATCCTGTTAATGGATCAAAATTAAAGGCACTTTGTAACTTAACTTTGACTATTTCGAACCAAAGTTATCTAAAATAACTTTGGTTTATGGCGCATTTTGAGTCTCATACCAGTTGCCTGGTTATACCAGCCCTCCAACCACATTTTGATTTTGTCTGAGCTTCTTTGATGTACAGGGTTTAGTGTCCTTATCAGGTCACCAATTTGAGTCCGATCCATCTTTTTGATTCACTCTTTACAAAACCCGGGTGACATTTTTTCTACTTGATTCTTCCATAGACTTTAAATGACTTTTAGTGTTTTTTTGGCCAATTTTGCCTTTTATTTTTCCCTCTGCTAAGGCCACTATCACTTTGCGTATGCCTCGTCCACCTGATATTGGCGATAAGTACAGCAGTCGTCATGGTCAGAAGGGCATCAATAGTCTTCTGATTCCCAGTGATGAAATGCCTTGGGCTGTCGACTCTGGCATGGTGCCTGATCTCATTTTCAACCCTCATGGTTTTCCCACTCGAATGACGATGGGCATGATGATAGAGTTTTTGGCGGGCAAGTCGGCTGCTATCGAAGGCGAGTCTTTATGCTGCTAAGCAGCAAATTATCACGATTTCTATACTTTCCGTCTTATGCTGCATCCTTTCGACATTAAACGAATTTTAATTTTATAACCTTCGATAAATTAAAGCGAAGCTGGGTTTCGAAGAATTTCTTAATAAATTGATACTAGCGTACCTTTGATTTCGTTTGGGAAGGCGGGTCAAATGGACTCGTAGATTGGCCTCACTGGATACCGCAGGAGGGTGTTGCCTTGGACTTTTGCATGCTGAATTGTATATATATGCTTAAGGAAAGTCAACTAAGAGTTGTTAAAGTTAATATGTGCTAGCAAATCATCTGTTCACTGTCCACGATCTATCTGTGCAGAGCTCTCGTCTATAATGTAGCAGACGGCGTCAGAATATGCAAACAATCTTTGGCGAAACACCGAACACAGACAAAAATGGTGGCTAACCGTAATATTTATTACTTATTTATTGTGATGACTTTAATTGGTGTAAAAGTTCCATTTGTCGGTCTGACGAGATGATTACGGCTGATTCCCGTTGTTTTGCAGTCGTTTGATTATACTACGACGTTCAAATTAGCGTAGTCCACGAGACGTCTTCCCTAGTTTCGAGTGAGAAGGGCTCAGCCTCTGTCCGTAAAATGAACATCTTAGCTCTACAGGGCCCTATCACTTTTTTGCTATTGGATCCCCTTTTAGAAATGTATTAGTGCCATTTGGCGCCCGAATCTTCGAATCCATTCTGGAGATAGATTCTGTTACTTTAATTCTGGAATCCAGTTTTTAGTCTAGCTTTTTCATGGCTGATGTGCACAGGCTTACACTGATGAATTTCCTCTAAAATATTCCAGAATAATATCGAACTTGATTATTGGTGCATAACCTATTAGTATTAGTACTTGTCATTAGCGTTATGGTATTCGCCTCCAAATGATTAGCTCGATTGCTCTCGCCCATTTATTTTTTAGCCAAGATAGTCATTACTCTGTTCTTGTTATTATGATTCCACCCCAGGTCAGCGACTTGATGCTACTGCCTTCCAGTGGACGGAATCCAATCCCCCCTTCCATGATTATGCACAGAGTCTATCAAAAGCAGGATTTAACTATTGGGGTACGGAAGCTATGATCTCCGGCAGCACTGGTCGTCAGCTGGAAGCACATATATTCATCGGAATCGTCTACTACCAGCGCCTTCGACACATGGTTGCCGACAAGTATCAGGTTCGACCCTCGAGTTAGAACTGATTATTTTTGTTTTTATTTTGATTGTTATCTTTTACTAACTGGATTCCCAAAGTCTGCGAGATATTCAGTCTGTAGCTCATACCTATTAGATAGCAAGTCGAGTAGACAGATATAGGCATAAAGTGAGCAAATTCATGGCTTCTAGTACTAAACTACTTCCATATAGAACAATAAAGTTGTTTGATGATGCTAGCAGCTATACGGTCCCAAGTTCACTCAACCCATAATCTGAGGCAATGTAGTCGATACTTTGTATTTTTCTAAGGGGAGGAAAAGGCTCTATGTAGATTCATAACTATCTTCTTTAATATCCAGGTTTCTGATTAAATTAATAGGGTCCAATGGTCAAACCCACTTGCTACTTATTCAAACTAGGAAGTTGACGCATTGTGAAAGCCCCTAGAGGTAAATTCAGTGGTTATATAAATGCATGTGTAAATAGAAAGGTTGTTACCTGCATTGAGTGATTCAAACACAAGTTTTCAGCAAAATGTCATAGAGGCTGGTTAACAGGTACCCATTTGATGCGTGTATACCTTTCATTTCGCTTGAAGGGCCTCAGTGGTTATTGAGGGGGGATTACCTTGATTTTATATTTGTTTGATTGTGCGAAGAAGTCCTTGGCCTATCGTCTTGCGACACTAATCCATCCGGATTGAGCTTTCTTCTGTCATGTGGTGGACATCGTCAGAGTCAGAGATCATCATTTACAAATAACCATAAATAAAGGCTTAGGTAAATAATGGTTAAGGTTTACTGGTTATAGTAATATTTAGATTGCCTGTCGGTGAGCTAATATTCCTCTAGTTTGCTTGGTGTCGAAAGCGAAATATTTCAGCCCAACTAACCTTTATAAATTCCTTTACAGTTTAGTTGCGAGATTAACATTTCCCGATGAGGTTCGAATAAGCCAGCATCTAGAAAAGCTGCACTTTTTTCATAAATCACTTTAAAATATAGGCTGAATAAGTGATATTATATCTTAATTAAAGGTTCGGTCTGTTGGCCGAGTCGAACCAATTCTTCGGCAGCCCATCAAGGGTCGGAAGCTTGGTGGTGGTATCCGCTTAGGCGAAATGGAACGCGATTGTCTAATCTCACATGGTGCCGTGTTCACCCTGCATGACCGCTTGGTTGAGTCAAATTCAGATACTGTTACCGTAAGTAATTTTTTTCCTGAAATTATCGAGTTTCATCATTTCACATGCTGTCTTCCTACATATCCAAAGCATCAGTTATTTTAGTGCCTAGGTTTGAAATAAAACAATAATATTGCCTTATACTCTTGCCACAAGTTGTTTCTGTGACAGACACAAAGAGAGATGTGATGTCAAAATGATAATGGAATAGCAGTTAATAAAGTTGTCCAGACTTTGGCAATTTTAAGGTCTGTTTCACAGCCGAACGGCACTATGGTCGTATATAGGCTATTCATTGTATGTTTCCTTTAGTTTTTGTATATCCCTAGTTCATATATCAAATAAACTATCACTACAAACTTGTAATGATACTAAGCGACTCTTACCTAGCTGAACTCTAACTCTCGATTGGAAACAAGACTATATCCACTGTTCATTGTCTTTTTTCATAACCGTTTATTTATGTCGGATCCTTAAAGGCACGCTCTATTCAACACAAAGTTGCTCTTTTCCATGTCAATTTGTCATTAGCGAAATCAAAGTGACATGAGTGAAAGCTGATATACTTAAAGGAATTTATCTAGAGCAACTAGAAAACAGCATTTTCTCACCCTGACGCATTTGGGAAGTCTAGCTCGAGCATTTATTGTTAACCCTGGTGTATATAACTATATAAAATTGTTCTGTATCCGTTCGCAATTCGGTCATGTTATCACGTTGACCTGAAAGAACTTACATGGTCCGGTGTCCTCCGTCATAACCATGATAATTTTGAGCTACGGATAGTAAACTTGTTACGCTTCCATACATTATGCAGGGATATGTGAATGTACCTAGACACAAGGAATATGTCACAAGCATCGATCAGGAAGTCAGTCAAGAGCGACCGAGCGAATTGTATCTTGGTTATAAGATTGGCAAAGCTTGCTGAAGTTCCGGCGAAACGTCTGAGAATGTACCAAGTTCATGGCAGAGGGGAATGGACGAAGTACTTTCTCGAAGTCTCTCCGCAAAAGTGTACTCAGAGAAAGGAAGCGGCGACCAAAATAGAGGCCA